GTTACACAAGCACTAGAGTTCACCAAATTAAATTAATAGGTAGAAGATTTAAAACAATAAAAGTTTTTCTTCACCCGACACACAGTTGATCTGTGGAACTCTTTGCCAGGGGATGTTGTGAAGACCAAGATAATAAGAGGGACCAAAAAAGAGCTAGATAAATTAATGGAGGTTAGGTCCATCAATGACTATTAGCCAGAATGGGTAGGAATGGGGTCCCTAGCCTCTGTTTGTCAGGGGTTGGGAATGGGTGACGGGAAGGATCACTTGATGATTACTTGCTCTGTTCATTCCCTCTGGGCCACTGTCGGCAGACAGGGTGTTTGGACAGATGGACCTTTGGTCTGACCCAGTCTGGCCATTCTTATGCATGTGCAAAAGAACAAGAGAAGGAACCTGGATAAATCCAAACTAAAATGACCTGTCAAATGATTGCCCCCGCCCCCAATTAGGTGATGTCCCTGACTAGAAAATGAGCCCAGATCAAAGCCATAGGAGCCACGCTCCCATCTGACCAGCCACCCAGTGTTCCCAAGACATCAACCATCTCTTCTATTCTCTCTCCCCTACACCTCGGCTACATGAAGGGAAGTGACTATCCTTCATGCATCACGGAAAGTAAAATTAATCTTTCCTCTTCAACAAAGAAAAGTATTTTGAAAGTAAGAGGCTGACTGTAAAGGTTTTAATTGTTTGCATAATGGCTCAATTTCAGTTTCAACTCAAAGGCTTTTTTTCTTATTGCTTGTATTGGGTCAATACCTTTTCAGCTTTGTAAGGGTTGCGTTTGGGCATTTGCCAAGAAATAAGGAAACCAAGGTCTCCAGAGAGAAACCCCAATGCAAGGGAAGATTAAGCCCCTAGGAATACTATACAGACAGGCTGTGTCTACACTGGGCCACTTATTCCGGAAAATCAGCCGCTTTTCTGGAATAAGCTGCGAGCTGTCTACACTGGCCCTTGAATTTCCGGAAAAGCAATGATGCTCTACTGTACAAAATCAGCCGCTATTCCGGAAAAACTATTCTGCTCCCGCTCGGGCATAAGTCCTTATTCCGGAACACTGTTCCAGAAAAGGGCCAGTGTAGACAGCCCAGTAGTCTTTTCCAGAAAAAAGCCCCGATCGCGAAAATGGCGATCAGGGCTCTTTTCCAGAAAAGCGCGTCTACATTGGCCACAGATGCTTTTCCGGAAAAAGGGCTTTTCCAGAAAAGCAGCCTGCCAGTGTAGACACTCCTTTTCCAGAAAAACTGAAAACGGAATAGTATTCCGTTTTAAGCATTTCCGGAAATTCATGCCAGTGTAGACACAGCCACACTGGTCCCCTGAGCAAGGAGCCAGACCTAATGCTGGGAAGGGGGCAGGGCTTAAGCACTTAGCTTGCAGCTCTGTGCCCCACGCAGCATTGAGGATCCTGGAAGGGTGGCAGCAGAGTCAGGGCCAAGCAAACACTGGTTAACGGAAAATTGGTCTCGTCAACCCAATCTGAGAGTGTTGTTTCTATGAGCTCACGAGTCTGGCTGAAAAGGAGAATGGTGCAATATTGATTTTGCATGGCACGTTATTCTGATTTCACTTCGCACTATGTGAAATCAGTGCGGCTCACGTTAAACGGGTTCTGAATCAGCTGATAGATCTGAAAAAGTGATTGTGAGTGGGGACGCTCCAGCCACTGCAGGACTTTCTAGTGAGGTCCCACGGAGACCTGCTCTTAGCCCAGTGCTAGTCAGAGTCTTTAAGATGGAGTACAAGCTGTCAGGAACAGTATTCCTGATGATGCCACAGCACAACTGGTGGCTGAACTCTGTGAATTTATCCTCACACACAACTATTTCAGATTTGGTGACAACATATACCTCCAGACCAGTGGCACTGCTATGGGCACCCGCATGGCCCCACAATACGCCAACATTTTTATGGCTGACCTGGAA